CTAACACGTCATTCGGAGCATAGTATCAACGTTACATCTTACCTGCATTTGCGATTCCTTCTCATACCGCTCCTCACCATACTCTCCTTCCTTAGCAGCTGCCTCCGGGCTTATGTCCAAGAACATGACCATATCAGGCCTCGGTAGACCAACCTAGCCGGAGGCAGGCAACTACTCACTGAGTGGTACTCAGGGTTAACCACGTCGACCCTGCTGAATCTATTAATACCACTCTCCGAGAAGCATAGCTCTTCTCAGAGTATTACGTCCACACTCTTGCACCATTCAAAGTCCACAGTCACCTTCATAGCAGTGTAGGCCACGACAGAGAAGATGTATCTATCACAGACTGAGATGGAGAGAATCAGATAGGAATGACCGCAAGCCTACTATACCTATATGCCTCCCCGCAGCCAAATGACTCAGCATCTCCGGCATCGCCTCCCACCTGATTGAACAAGTTCCGAGGCGAGGAGCTCTCTCGAACGTTAAGCAAGAACGCTCAGCCGTTACCTATTCGCTGAAACAGCGAGTGCACAGCCTCATCCTTCATCCTGCACGAGGGATCCCTTAAGTATGGATCCAGCATTTTATCAATGACGCTACTCCGCGGAGGGAGCCCCATCTCCACCATCTGATTCGAGAGTTCCGATATCCTGCGTCATTGCGGGGCCGACGTCTGGAGACTCAACGCACTTGCCGACAATAGATCTTGCAATTAGCAAACGACCCCCTTCCCCATCCTTAGCCTCGAAGCTTCGCTAATACGTTTTGAGCTGGGCAGACTTCCTCGACCTGTTCAGCCCCTCGAGAAAGATGTATGCACCCCGCATCATGCTAAATGTTTCAAGTGATGTAATAGGATACATCGTATGCAATACAAAAACACCATAGTATAGTTACCATCCGTACAGGAAAAGATTTCTACATCCTGCGCCGTGCACAAACACATCTCAAATACCGAAAGATTCTCTTTGCCATGGTTGTCACGCCTTCCAGGTATTCGAAATAGGGAATCACTACATTATCTTTCACTTCTACCACAGTGTTTTCAATACACTACCCTGGTATTCCGTCTGAGCCAGTTTATGGCAGACTTGAGCACAACACATGTTTCATACAGACTGAAAACTCCACACCATGTGGTCCATGCCTTTTTACTATCACTTGCCAGAGGCTACTAGTCATACATAGAATGAATTAGAGTACAAATCACATTGTAATAATTTCAACTCTCACCAATGCATGCAGCTGAGGATTAGGCCAAGTAAGCATCGTGGAAAACTCTCGCAGGATCTCGTCACTGATCAGTTGAACAAGTCATCATTTGCTGTGTAGACTTGGCCGTAACCTAGTCACGGCGTCTTCTTCGAAATCACTGACGCAATGACCCTCGTAAGTGACCCTATCCGCGCTGATACCGAGATTTTCATAGCCAGCTAGCGACTTCTGCAGCACAGGAGGTTGTTCCGCCATGTCTTAGCGAAGACAAGCCTCCACGGAATGTAGAGCATTCAACGGATGCAGCAAAGACTAGATCAACGTGTCATAATAAACGGTGTAGAGCAACTTGCGATGCAATTGTCCGATCAATGTGCCGATATCCAGTTTTCGTGAACTTGCACGAAAGTGGAATATTCGCGCATGTTGCATCTCGCTCGCCCTAATCCGCGACCGCGGGGTCAGCATGGTCGAAAAGCTCATAAGAATAGACTACTTCAAGTAGTGATTTCAACAAGTTACAAAAATGTTCCGTAACTTCATCGTGGCAATCGCCATCGTCTTTAGTGCTGCTGGAAGCATTTTGGACTCAATCACCATTGAGCCTCCAAGAGTGCACGAGGGCAACGGGTAAGCCAACATTCATTGAATGGACTTATTAATCTCACGACGGATCACGTTTTCAGGACGACACTGCGTCCCGTTGATAGCGAGGGAGAGAAGGATTGGGAGTGGGCTCCATTGACGGACGACTTCGTCATGAGCACCACTCCCAGTCCCACCCCATCGAAGTCTCCCCTGACGAGGACTCCGACTGGGGTTTTCAGGGCTCAGCAGAGCTCCGATGGGTGAGAATGACTGCCCGAGTGACTCCTGCCGGATCAATATGCACTTTTATCTCAGAAACCATCCACATGGGCTCTGCTCCATCGTCATCGCGGTACTCGTTGTACGATTTGTATGATGACGTTGCAAGTTAATTATAGAAAAAACAAGCTTTTGGTTGAGTTATATAAGTAGCGGGTCATTTCGGGAAGGAACCCTTGCCACAAGAGTACTGCGACGCAGCAACTGAGGGAATGTCTCCTCGACTTGAACCGAATCCAATTCCGAGTCAACTTCTGTCAATCGGATACGGTGAAACACTTCCCACTGCGTAATATCATATTACGTTCAACTGTTCCGAGCGGTATTGGGTTTGCGAAGATCTTAGTGCGAAAAATAATGCCCTACGAAGTTGAGGCTCTCAACTCGAGGGTTTTCCTTCAGACTGTTCTGAAGGTGTCCTTCACTACCGTTGGAGATATCCAAGCTTTTGCACGGTTTGGAGACTCCAACCGATCCTCTAAATCCGGATCGTCCGAGTTCTATCGATAACGATAACTAGGTCAGCTAATCTGGGTCGTTCGTGCTCTCAGTCCAATAGGGAGATATAAAAACGATTTGTTGCCTCATCGACACACCGAAAGCAAGTTTTCAGGAATTTGCAGGAAAAGCCGAACAGCTGCGCATGATCAACCTCGCCCGCCCCAATCCGCGACCGCGCGATCAGCATGATCGCAATGACCTTGAAAGTAGACTACTTCAAGTAGTAATTTTAACAAGTTGAACAAATGTTCCGCAACTTCATCGTCACGATTGTCGTCGCCTCCGTTGCTAGCAGCAGCATCTTGGACTCGATCACCATCGAGCCCCCAAGAGTGCAGGGAGACAACGGGTAAGCCGACATTCATTGAATAGACTTGTTACTCTACACGACATTTCATGTTTTCACTGAAAACTTTTAAGGACGACCCTGCGCCCAGCTGGCAGCAATGGA